GCTTAAAAGGATTCCAATCCTCTCTTATTCTTAAAAGAATTTGGAAGCTTTCCTATAAATTGTTTCAATTGAAAATAATGCCACTTATCCATTCTCGTAAAATCTTATTTTTGTTCCAATTCCTTAAGTGATCCTATTTCCTCCCCCACCATTATAACCCTTAATTGTGCATCTTCTTCTTCTTAATCCACTTCCCTGTGATACCTTCTTTACCCGGGGGGAGAAAAACTCTGTGGATTTTAAGGGCATTAATAATTAATTAAATTCCCATCCCATCTGTTTGTGCAAAACATCCCAAACTCTTAAAACATTAAATGTGAACAAACTTTTACTGTCTGCTAATTCCTCTATATTGTGGAGTTAACCATACAATTCCACTTAATTTAGTATTACTTAGTATATTTTCTATTTTAACCCAGCTTTTTCCCTTTGCATTATATGTCCAGTCAAAAATTCTCGCCATTATTACCGAGTTATAATATCTTTTTAAATCTGGGACTCCCAATCCTCCTTTCTCTTTATTTCTACATAGAATTTCCAGGCTTATTCTCGGGTTTTTTATTCCTCCAAATAAATCTTATTAACATTTTTTTTTAATTGATCTAAAGTAAACCTCTGGTAGTTTAATTGGTATCATTTGAAATTTATATAATATTTTTTGGAACAATCACAATTTTATCAAATTTATATGACCTACCCATGACAGGGTTCCCCCTCCTAATTTCCTTAGTTCATCCCTGATCTCATTTAATAATGGGATATAATTCAATTTATACAAGTCCTTGGAGGATACAGTTAATTTTATTCCTAGATATTTCAATTCTTTTTCTCTCCAAATAAAGGGAAATTCCTCCTGTAACCTATTTTTTCTCTCTATTTGGAAGATTTATGTTTAAAATTTCTGTTTTTGTTGGGTTAATTCTTAAATTTGACATCTCCCCATATTCTTTCAGTGATTTCATTAAATTTGGCAATGTTACCCTTGGGTTTACCACATAGAATAGCATGTCATCTGCATAAGCTGCCACCTTATGCTCCGTAACTCCTATCCAAATTCCTTTTATATCTATATTATTCCTTACTGTAGCCAAAAGAGATTCCAATGATAAAACGTTTAGCAATGGAGATAAAGGGCATCCCTGTCTAGTTCCGATCTGCATCCCAAAATACTCTGACAATTCCCCATTAACCATGATTGCTGCAGAGGGTTGACTATATAATTTCCTTATCCACTCTTTCATTCTAGGTCCCATCCCCAATACTTCCAATGTATCCTACATATATCCCCAATCTACTCTATCAAATGCCTTTTCAGAATCGATAGAGAGTACCACCGCAGGGATTTTTTCTTTCCTACTTTGTATGAGAAACAGAGATCTCAGTCCGTTATCTCTACCCACCCCCAGTCTTAACCCTCAAAATTTTATGTGGTAGAAAAATAAGGAATTTCTCAGAACAGCAGATTTTTGTAATGATCAGGGCATTTTGTAATGATCAGGGCTTTTATTAGTAATTTTATTATTATTATTTTATTGTTTAGTAATTTTATTATTATTATTACAGGTACTTATATAGCGCCGTCAATTTACATATATTATACATTCGTATCAGTCTCTTGCCCTCAAGGAGCATACAACAAACATCAGCTGCCACTAACTGAACTCTATTGTTTTTTGCAGATAAGGCTCTAGCATGACATTTAGACGTGAGTATTACGACATCAATGAAGCATCTCTACAAACCATTGACATTTCCGGTCACATTTCTGCAATATGTTATAATTACCTAGAAATCTGATAAACTACCATACATGGTACAGTTGCAGCAGGATTTAGATGAAGACTTAACCAGGGTATACATGTATCAAAATTCAGCTGGTTCCGCAGGAATCGGTCAACTTTCAGTACGCTTACTCTTCTCTGGCTTCTGTTGAACAGTCCTACTGGAAATCCAGCATTTGATTAGTGCTGATCTGTGTATTCTGAGAGGGAGGGGGAGATTCCTGCATCCACATTGTTTGCATGTATGCAGGAATCTGTCAGTTTTTTTCCGTTCAACCCACTGGGGTTGACCTGCCTGTTTTTTTGTATATCCTAGTCTCATTCAAAGCTCAACTAAAACTAACAGACTTTTCTAAATGACAAGCAGACATTTGAAAGCATTTAGAATATTTAATATGAGAGACAATATTATTGCTGCTGACATTCTGCCCATATGTTAGGAATTAAGAGCATTTAAAAATGTTTTATAGGTAGGGAAGGCACCACCGCTAGGTGCACTAGGCAGGACTAGGGTCCTTCCTCTCTCACCCCTCCCCCGGGTTGCTGTCACTTGTCAGCTCATCATCCATCTGTAGATGGAGCTGATGGCTGGTAGTGGCGTGTTTTGGCTCAGCGATGGCCATCAGTTCAAGCGCCATCCAGACACAACTTGGGGTCCCTCACCGCACCCAGCCTGACCTGCCGGGGCTCTGGCCCCATCTCTCCAGTGGGGCTTCTGCTGATGAGAGCTGCACAGGGCATGAGCCAGCCCCTGGACTTGACAGCCTAACCATGAGTGCTCCCCAGCAGAGGAATGGCTACGGCATCCAGGTGGTGCACTTCTGGCTGTAAGTACCACCAGCTTTGCCCCTCCTCCTGTAGTACTAGGATCCCTCTGTGTTCAATGCTGTTACACCCCCTCTGCTGCATTGTTGTTCCTCACCTCACCCTGCATCCACCAATAATTTATGGTGTCACTCCATTCATCATGGGTGGAGGTGCCAAGACACCAACAGGGCACCTACACATCTGAGTCACTCAGGTGGCATGCCTGTATTTATTATTATTATTATTATTATTATACAGGATTTATATAGTACCAACAGTTTGTGCAGCACTTTACAAAATGAAGGTAGACATAACATTTACAATACAATTTGATACAAGAGGAAACAGAGGGCCCTGCTTGTTAGAGCTTACAATCTGTATGAGGCTGCACATGCCCAGCACACAGTCCAGGGTGGTGGTGCCCCTCTCTGGGTTTCATAGTTCCCAGTACTTATGGTCCTGACCCTAGAAAATACCTCTAGTTGCCTGCTGGTCCATAGATCTAAGTGTAGTTTGCTATATACTCTCATAATGTGGTGTTGAAAATCCCCAAAAGGGTTATTACAAGTCCAGGTAATCAGTGAAGATGTCCTAATGGAGTCTCAGCAGTTCCCAATACTAAATTCCTTTACTCTATGGGGGAACAAAGGTTGCGAAAAGTTGTTCTAGGTGATCCTTTCTAAGCCAGGGTCACGCGAAGTCCTAGGGTTTCTCTAGCAGCTGCTGGGGGTTCACAGAGAGCTGAAAATTATTTTAGGGGTTGTAATATTTTCTACTGTTTTGAAAGTTTTATAATTTTTTTTCTTGAGGGGGGCAGGGGTTCATGCAGCTGGTCCTGCCTAAGGTGCAAAATAGTCTAGCACCGACCCTGTTTATAGGTGATATCTGGTGTCAGGTTGTTTAAATATAAGTTGAAGTATTCACAAAAATGTTTTAACAGTTGACAAAAGGTGTTAAGCTGCATATTTGGCAAAATTGACGTTATGTTTGTTAGTTAGAGTTTATAACTTAATTAACTCAGTTTTAACAAAGTGTAAGTCTGACCATACAGGAGTTAATCGTGTGTCCAGTGTGTGGATGGGGTAATTTCTCCCGCTGTGCTATTCTGACAGTGGCAAGACTTCCCAGCCTTCAGAATACACTGATCAGCGTTGATCAAGAGAAAGATTTCCAACAAGCTTATTGTTCACAAGTGGATTGATGACTTGTTTACAACCAGCCTGCCTGTTGGGAGGTGCAGCATGATGTGGACAGTAAATACACAGTTGCTTGGACCTTGTGTACTTGTAAACTTGGAACAGGAGAGCGCCACTAGGGAAATAACTCACAGTCATGGAGGAGAGATGTTGACAGCTCATTTCCAGTTAGCGAATACCTAGCCTGTCCCTCTTCCTCAAGAACCTTTCCCTACCACTAGTTACTTTCCCTAAAAAGTGGAGTCTCTCTCCATACACTAGACACACACAAGAAGCATGCCGAAACCCAGGGGCAGGGACTTAAATAGACCCTGCTGATCCAAGATGGCCACCAAGGTTCGCATGGCCGCAGCATAGCCAACCGGAATACTGCTCCATTGACCCAGGAAACCATAGAGAAAAGGTATTCCCCTTGGACTTCCTCTCCAGGCTGTGGTACCACTCAGACTTAGTGCCACATACAGTGAACAAAACAGACCATACCTGCCTAACTGCTCATGCATTGATTGAAATTCAGCCGGTCCCTGCTGAACTAGCCAAATTTTGATCCATGTATGGCTGGCTTTAACTACCATGTTCAGTTTTTCTTGTTTCTTTTTGTACACCTGTTTGAAAATGTTTTTGTAAAAGTGTACCTTTGATTACATTATGGGTTTAAAACCTCTGAATCAGCATAACAATTAAAACAAGTATAGAACATTGGCCAAGCATACAGATTCTGTTTAAAGACCCAATGATATATACTGCACTTTTCGCTCCATAAGACGCACTTTTTCCCCCCCAAAAAATGGGGGAAAATGTCTGTGCATCTTATGGAGAGAATATGGAGCGGCTGGCCTGGTATTCCCACCACTACCATGTTAGAATACTAGGCCAGCCGCTCAGCTCTTCTGTGCAGCAGCAGAACCTGCTCTTTGGTCTAACCTGTTCCTTGGCCCAGCGGTGTCCTCACCGTCTTCTCTCCTTGGCGCCGGCATCTGTAGTGTGGGCACCCGGCTGTGACAGCTTGCGGCTTCACAGCCGGGTGCCCACTGCGCATGAGCGAGAAGCTCTGTGCTTTGTGAATGGTCCGGCAGTCTTCTGGGACCTGTCACATGTCCCAGAAGATAGGGAGGGATGTACAAGGGAGGGATGTACGCAGTCTCTGGTCATCTCCTGTACTGTGTCCGCAGTCTCTGGTCATCTCCTGTACTGTGTCCGCAGTCTCTGGTCATCTCCTGTACTGTGTCCGCAGTCTCTGGTCATCTCCTGTACTGTGTCCGCAGTCTCTGGTCATCTCCCGCAGTATGTCTGCAGTCTCTGTTCATCTCCTGTACTATGTCTGCAGTCTCTGGCCATCTCCTGTACTATGTCCGTAGTCTCTGGTCATCTCCTGTACTGTCCGCAGTCTCTGGTCATCTGTATTGTGTCCACAGTCTCTGGTCATTTCCTATACTATGTCCGCAGTCTCTGGTCATCTGTACTATGTCTGCAGTCTCTGGTCATCTCCTGTACTATGTCTGCAGTCTCTGTCATCTCCTGTACTATGTCCACAGTCTCTGGCCATTTCCTGTACTATGTCTGCAGTCCATTGGTTCAGAATATTATTTTTTCTTGTTTTCCTCCTCTAAAACCTAGGCGCGTCTTATGGTCAGGTGCGTCTTATGGAGCAAAAAATACGGTACATAACAGTTGTACTTTGCTAACATAAATGTCTATAACCTTATGTTACAATGGAATCCAGATTGGCGTATGTAATGTGCTGCAGATTCACATTCTGACACACAACATTTAAAGTACAACTTTAAGCCTTGGTTCACACTAATGTGGTGCGGCACATCGAATGTGATTTGCACAGTAACCGCACTGCATTCCTGTGCAAATTACATGCGATGTCTGTACGGTGCAATTTGAGCCGCATATTGTGTATGGCTCAAATCGCATCGCATCTGTACCAAAGAGGTGCAGGACCTTTTTTTCCCTGCACCTGATTCTGGTAATCGCACTGCGATTTGTGATCTGTTTCGGGAGTTTCGGTAATGTAACATTGACACCCGTACCAGATCGCATTAACACCATGGGATTGCAATGCGGTGCGTGAAACGTACAAGATTTGCTGTGTTTCCTACACCGCATTAGTTTGAACCAGAGCTTAAGGATAACTAATCACAAGAACAAAAATGCAGCTTACCAGTCCTTGGATGTAGAGGCTGCATTTGTTTTAACTTCACTAACATTTTCAGCAAATACAGAAAATGCCTGTAGATCTTGTCAGAATTGCAGTGTCTTTGTCACTTCCAGTGAGCTGTAGAGAAAGCACAATCAAAACGAAGCTCCAAACTGAAGGAAGAATCATCGTCAGGAACAGGGGCGGACTGACCATTTGGGAACACGGGCACTGCCCGAGGGCCTGGGGTCAGAAGGGGGCCCCATGAGATGCCCCTGGTACCTTTTCATAGGCTTTTTTGGGTGTGGTTTGAGTGTGGGCAAGGACACAGGGGCCCCATGGTCCCCTATTGTCCGGGGGCCCCATTAGTTGTCAGTCCGCCCCTGGTCAGGAAACAGCAGAGGTTGCCAATGTGCAGGCAGTGAAGTACCAGGTTAAAAGGCAAAATCTTTGTCAACAGTCAAGGCCAGGGTCAGTGACAGAATTGAACAGCAATCAAAAGCAGAAGGGGGATTCAAGAACAGGTCAGGTGAAAGCCAAGTCAGCAATGAAAGTCAGGCACAAGATCAGAATCAGTAATCACGGTAGAACAGACTGAAAGACCATTCAGCAGTGAGCGTTTGCAGCTATGGGGTAGAACTAGGTTTCTATGTACAGAAATATGTGCATGAGCCTGATGGCTGGCACGATGTTTGTGACAGTTCCACCTAAAATGCTCTGCAAAGAAGGGTACTGTATATGTCAGGTCAGTTTTTTTTCATCCTGTAAAAGTGCCTCTATTTCAGCCTATGTGTCCATGCACAAATCACCACTTTAATATCACTCTATAGCTGAAAGATGGCTACAGCACGGTTCTCTCGTTCTGGGAGGGTGTCTATAGACGTCCACCCCAGAATGCACCTCGTGGGGGACCCCTTGGGGCGTGCATCGGGCAGGATCTATGCCCATCAGTGCAGCTTATCAGTGCCCATCAGTACCAATCAGTGTCACCTATCCATCAGTGGTGCCTCATCAGTGCAGCCTTATCAGTGCTTCCTCATTAGTGCCCATCAGTGCAGCTTATCAGTGCCCTGAAAAGCCATCTCATCATCAGTGCCCATCAGTGCCACCTATCAGTGGTGCCTCATCAGTGCAGCCTTATCAGTGCTTCCTCATTAGTGCCCATAAGTGCAGCTTATCAGTGCCCTGTAAAGCCATCTCATCAGTGCCCATCAGTGCCACCTATCAGTGGTGCCTCATCAGTGCAGCTTTATCAGTGCTTCCTCATTAGTGCCCATCAGTGCAGCTTATCAGTGCCCTGTAAAGCCATCTCATCAGTGCCCATCAGTGCCACCTATCAGTGGTGCCTCATCACTGCAGCCTTATCAGTGCTTCCTCATTAGTGCCCATCAGTGCAGCTTATCAGTGCCCATTAAAGCCACCTCATCTATGCAGCCTCATTAGTGCCTATCAGTGCAGCCTCATCAGTGCCCATCAGTGTAGCCTCATCAGAGCAAAAGTTTATAACAGAACCAAAGAAAAAATGGAGACACGTTTTTGAAGCTGCTTTTCCTGCCAGGAGAAAAAGGCATTCAGAGGAGAAACCAAACATCCTGTGTGCAGAAGGCCTTAAGACGCATGACTATTGCACCAGAGATAGGCTCGTCCACTTCCCCATTACCACCATTACCGTTCCGCACCAACCCCCTTCCCCTTAACCAATTATACTAACAAAAGACATAACACCAATTTTGGAGTAAATGGCCAACATGGCCTTTTATTAACAACTCAAGTTACAATACACCAACCATTCCTTATAACAGAAACCCACAGAATTGATGTTGGTCTTCGAAGTGTCATGGAAATTTTGTATTGTTGGTCGAACTTTAAATGTGTCATATATTCATGTTATTCATATGTCTCTCGTGTGGCTTAATTAAAGCTCTGAAGGCTGCATTGGGCCATGCGCATGTACAATGTATGTATTACAGTACTCAGCTGGTAATGGATGAGATGGCAGATCTGCGCTTATAGACCGGCGTGTATACCACCACGGCATTCGATGCGAATGTCGCTGGCAGTAGACCGTGGGCCTGTATCCACATATCAGCAGCATAGTACCCACGTGGGCTTCATAACGCAAGGCGCCAAGCGGTACGAACTCCGCGTGTAGGCTTATGCATATCTTACAACCCATTACCAATCTGAACTGTATCCGGATGGATGTGTTTTAATAAAGATTGTACCGGGCCCATCCAGGTACAGACTGCTATTTTTAGGGAGTGCTTGTGCAGAGAATGGACATACCAATAGAAGCTAGTAGGACAGGAAATATGACCTCAGATGGCTCATGGGGGGGGAAGGGGAGGAAGTCTGCTGACCTCAGAAGACTCATGGGGGAGGACCAGTGATAGATAATAGGAAAGGCTATGCTCCAATTGGAATATACATCCTGTGTATAGGCACTCCCCATTGCATTGTTTGGTAGGAGGGGATTGACTTTATTCATGTGGGGGGCATGTGTGTATTTTTAATAAAACAGAGAGCTGAGTCTAAAACCAGTCCTTATGTGAATTGCAACCATCATCCTGAGAGTGTCGTTTGATCATTCTAGGGTAACGGAGCTCCAATCACCTACATTTCAACAGAAGCTAAAAGTAGTTGGATGGGCAGGAATCGTGTAGTTTAGCTGCAGTCGTGGTAAGCAAGATTCGCACAGCTTTATGGGGGATTTCTGCGCATCCAACTGCGAGTACTCACGGTAAGAAGAAATTCGTTAAAGCGAATTTCCAAGACAGTTTGGCGAGCCTGGTGGATACTAACGCGTATTCTTGCATAGCTAACCAAGAACGGGGGGGGAGGAATAGCCATCATGAACTAGCAAAAAGTATGCCGGCACATTTCAGGTCTCTCTGCCATTAAGAGGATCGCTTTTTGCGTGTTCGTGTGGCTGATTTCGCTCTCTGTTAGCTAACAAGAATTACCGCTTGGCAAGGACCTAGTTTTTTGTCCTAAACTCTTGATTTGTGGGTGAAAGACAAGGGTTTGTCTCTGCGGAGAGCAGCAGAGGGGTGGGTTTGGTTGGCTGGATTTGGTCAAGTTTAAAAATCTTCCAACCAAAAATTAAACGGGTATATGTTTTAGCGGGTAAAAGTTGTTGCATAGTGTTAGGTAAGTAATTGTGGGCTGTAGGTACTGTATTAATTGCTCTACCCCCCTCCACGTGAGGTAATTATTACAGTGCTGAAAGGTTTAGGTTTAATTGTTAACTGCTGTAAGATCTCTGTGTGTATGTAGTCTGTGCAATGTTTTGTGGTACTACTGCTCCCAGCGAGCATGCAGCAGGGGGTCCATTTTCTGTTACATGTGCATGTTAGTGTGATATATGTTGGTGTTTTATGTCCGTTCTGTGATTGTGCCCAAATTGTGTTGTATGTGTACTTCATATTGTTGTGTAATTGTCCAGTGTATGTTCTGTCCAAAAGTCTGTTTTATGTAAGAGGTTAGAGGCAATTTTGAGGCTAGAGTCTGCCATGTGCTCCTCTGTGGGGGGGGCCATTCTAGTGTTACCATGGTGCTTCCCTGTGGGGGGGTAATTCTAGTATCTGCCATGTGCTCCTCTGTGGGGGGTCATCTTCTTGACTAACCACATGGACTCCTTTTGTTTGGTGGCCATTTTGTTGGCTACCATGTGCTTTCCCTGTTGGTGGCCATTTTGTTGACTACCATATGTGCAGTAATCTCTATGCAATGTGTATGCAGTTTCCTATATGCTTATTTTTTGGCGCTTTTTTTGGGTTTTTCCTCTGTGAAAAGGGTTTTACTGGGAAACTTTTCCCGTTTTTTTTCTTTAAGGATCCCTTTTTTCCTTTTTAACATTTTTCGGGTTAAAAAAAGGGTTTTTCTGGGTGTATTGGGAAAAGGTTTTTTTTTTTCCCAAAAAAATTACCTAAAGGTCGGGGGGGGCATTTTCCCCATTCCTGAACCCTTTCCCCGCCCCCCTATAAAAAACCCAAACCTTGGAATTTAAACTTCCCCTATAACCCTTTTAGGAATTAAAATATCCCCCCCGTTGGGCCCGGGTCCCCAAACTTTTTCAAAAAGGTTTTAAAAATACCCCTCCCCCCCAAAAACCCCCCGACAGGTTTCCAAAAGGAAACGGTTTTCCGAAAACCCAAGGCCTTTAAAGGGGGTTTAACCCTTTCTCAGGGGCCAAGCCCCAAAACGGGAGGGGGTAACTTCAAGGTCAAACCCCCCGGGTGTTTAAGTACCCCAAAAACCCCACCCTCCATTCAGGAAAAGGGTTGGGACATTGGCGGGTTCCCAAAGGGGCGGGTTTGTTGGGTCTCTTGGGGTCCCCCCCAATCTTTTAAAAGGAAGGGGAACCAAAATTTTTCCCAAACCTTTAAGGGTTGTAAAAGGGAAGTTCCCCCCCCCAAATTG